ACCAAGCAGGCAATCATCCAGTGACTCAATGTCTGTTGTCCCCTGGCAGTCAGAGGCTAGGGGACACACACACACAGAGCTTGGGCAATAGCCATTGATGGACCTATCTTCCATGGATTTAATTCTTTTTAAACTTTATTATTGTGGCATTCGCACCATCCCCTGGCAATAAGTTGAGCAGGTTGACTGTGCCTTGTATGAAGAAGTACTTCCTTTTGTTTTAATCCTGCTGCCCATTAATTTCATGGGTGACCCTTAGTTCTTGTGCTGTTTAAAGGAGTAAATAATACTTGCTTATTCCACATCAGACATGATTTTACAGACCTCCATCATAGTCCCTTTTAGTTGTCTCTTTTCCAAGTTGAAAAGTCCCAGTCCCCTTTTCTCATATGGAAGCTGTTCCACACCCTTAATCATTTTGGTTGTCCTTTTGTGTACTTTTCAGTTCTAAGCTACTTTTTTTATATGGGGTGACCAGAAGAGTCAAGAGGTCAAGAGTTTGCTGCATTGAGTTTCCAAGACAGAGATTTCTATGACTGTTGCATTCTGTATCACTTTGGATGAATCTCAGAATAAGCTATCTCTGTTCATTGCTACTGAGTGTTGTTCCTCCTTTTCAGCCGCATCTTATTTTATTTTACAGGCACAGCTGATAGCTCAATCAATTGGTCAGGCTTTCAGTGTGGCCTACCAGGAGTTTCTGAGAGCCAACGGAATTAATCCTGAGGATCTCAGTCAGAAAGAATATAGTGACATAATCAATACCCAGGAGATGTATAATGACGATCTTATACATTTCTCCAATTCAGAGAACTGCAAAGAGGTACATTTTTTTTTAATTTTCATTTCATATTGTTAGGAGATCCAATTTTCTTATTTTTAATATTGATATACATACTCAGCACTCATTTTGCATTTTAAGAATAGTTTGTATGGGAAATAAATTGTTTTAATAGAATTCATCCTTAGGAGCTTTTTATTTTTCCTACCCACTTTATATTCAAGGCTCTTCTGCCTATATCATCATTATCATCATCATTACATTTACATTTCATATAAATAGGAAACAATTCTGCCTTTATATCACACTTAGGGTGTTATAATGAGGTGTTGGTATAGTTAGGAAGTTGGTAATCAAGTTGTAATGGCCTTAAAATTTACATTTTAATAGATTTTATACCTGCTGTTTGGTAGCAAGCGTCGGTAAATGGGTTGACATTTCTCATCTCAGTAAGAGATCTTTGTTTTATCTTTTGTAATCAGACGCTGTGTTTTAAAGCCCATTCTAGAACAAAATCATATCTGTTTAATTTTCATTTTGGAGGTGCATATAGCTAGTGGGCCAATGGTAACTGTGGGAAGCAGCCACTTCCAGAATATTATCTGCAATGCTGTGGGGGGAGCAACATTCATATGACATAGACGTAATAAGTTTTTAATCAAGTTAGACAAAAATCACGGGGCGGCATCCAAACACACACAATATGACCTTTAAGACCAGGTTGTTCTTGGGTCTTGTGAGTAGTGAGAGCAATGGGTGGAACAACGAGCTGTCCGCCATCTCAGTGCTCTCCACATAGGGATAGAGACGATTACTGTCTGTGTGCTTGGGGAGAACAGAAACTACTCGTGAGCATTCCCCCATTCCCCTCCCCACACACACACACAAGTCCAGGGGACTAGACTTGATGATCTCTTGAGGTCCCTTCCAGCTCTAGTATTCTATGATACAATCACCCTGAGGAGCCAGTATGAAATGACACAGAGAAGATACAATATGTACATAAGAAGGTTGCTAGGAAAAACTCTTCCAGGGCTTAGGAGGCTTTTGTCCATCACCAGTACACTTCAGTGGTGGATTACAATAGACTGGCCCTAATATAGCATTGTTTAAACTCCATGACAGAAGGGTTCTGTGGACACTATGGCTCTGCATGGGACATACATGGCTGGTATACATGCTTCTTTTATATCATAGCACTTGCAAACCTTGTTCGTCTTATACTCCACACATTCCCCACTAGCAAATGTAACGTTGACTTCAGGTCGGAAAGGTGACCACGTAAAATAAAAATGGTATTTTTTTAAGATGCCTCTCCCTCTGTGCCTGACAAGTCAGACCGCTACCAATGAAGCAGGACCAGTACAGCTGTGGCACTAAGCAGGATGATTTCTGCCCCTCTCTACACAATAACACGGGGTGGGCGAATACCAGCCGCTGGGGTTAGCCTCTGACAGACTCCACACTGTTGCATTTACCTACGCCTCTGCAGGTGCGGGTGATCGCTCCTCCATTGGTCGTAAATCACTGCTCCCGGTCAATGGGAGCTATGGGAAGCGGTGTCCCGTGCCGTGCCACTTCCCACCTCTCCCATTGGCTGGGAACAGAGATCCATAGCCAACAGGAACTGCAATTGCTGGTACCTGTGGAGTTGCAGGTAAATATAGCGGCAGCCAGCCAAGGGCAAGCCCTGGTGACTTGCTGCCATTTATTGCTCTCCCTTACAATAACAGCAGCAATATTGCCATCTGAAATCTGATTACAGCTAATATGGTTTTACATGAAGTGGAGAAAACGTCCCTTAAGTCGATACCAGACTTAGCATGGCACGTCGGCATAATGACTGACATTGATAATGATGGCATATATTTCACATTTTACCTTTCATCCAGGAAATTCTCTAAGCCCCTCAGAAGCAGAATGAGGCACATGAAGCCACATCCTGTTCCCATTGAGTTACTAACAAAACTGTCATTGGTTTCAGTGTGATGAATATTTGATCTGTGTTTTAATGGTCTGAGTGCAGAAAGCACAACTGTGTTTCAAATCAGTCTCATTTTTTGACCTTCGGTAAATCACTTAATCTTTCTGTCATAGTTTCCTTACCTGTGAAATAAGAAATTAGTAGCACTTCCCTGCCTCACAGGTGTATTGCAAGGATTAATTTATCGAGGTTTATAAAACACTTTGAAGATGAAAAGGACTAGATGAGACTACATGTTATTTCCAAGTAATGGGTCATGTGATTTCACTGGGGGCTTTGCCTAAATAAGGAATGCTAGTTTTGGTCCTAAATTTAGTAATGCAGTCAGTTCATGATGAATCATGGTGACTGGGAGACGGTGAAAATCCATACCCAGTTGAAAACCAGTCCAGATATAAGTAAATGGTAATTTACAAAGTTACAGAAAGAAATGGTAAAATAAATTGATATATGATTTATATGGATGCAGTTGCTGAACTTGTCAAGATATTGTTTAGGTACATGTAATAACTGGGAAATACAGGCAGTCCAGGGGTTACATGGATCCGACTTACATCGGATCCCTACTTACAAACGGGGTGAGGCAACCCCGCACTAGCTGCTTCCCCCCAGCAGACCAGGGAGATACGAAGCTAGCGCCCCCCCCCCCCCAGCAGATCAGGGAGACGCGGAGCGGCTTTTCTCAGCAGACACCTCAGCTTGAGAATAAAGGACTGAGGGAAGTGAGGTGTGGGAGAATAAAACTGAGCTCTGGAGAAATGTTTGGCTAGAGTTTCCCCTACAATATGTACCAGTTCCGACTTACATACAAATTCAACTTAAGAACAAACCTACAGTCCCTATCTTGTACGTAACCCGGGGACTGCCTGTACTTCAAATTGGTCACACAAGAGAGAACAAAATCAATCAGAAAAACTTGTTTTTTAGTTGTAAGTGGAACCAATTGGGCATAAATATGTGAAACAACAAGATGTCAGCTTTATAATCACTACTCTGAGCTTAAGCGTGTTTCCAAGTAATTAATAGTTGCTACCCTTCCTGCTGCCCATTACTCCTTGGTTCCTTATTCTCCTAATTGAACACATTTACAAGTAATGATGGATTATCTGATCATTTTGAAGCTGTTGCACTCTGGCTGAATTTCAATCAATCTTTGCAGAACTCAGTGAGCCTTTCTGGTTTTTATAGGCAAGAAATCCCCTTCTCTGTATGGCATAAGAATGGCCAAGATGGGTCAGAGCAAAGGTCCATCTAACGCAGTATCCCGTCTTTCAACATGGTCAATGCCAGGTGCCCCCGAGGGAATGAACAGAACAAGTAATCAAGTGATCCATCCCCTGCTTTCCGTTTCAGCTTCTGGCATGCAGGGACACCATCCCTGCCTATCCTGGCCTTTGATGGACCTATTCTCCATGAATCTGTCTCATTTTTTTTTAATCCTATTATAGTGTTGGCCTTCACAATATCCTCTGGCAGAGTTTCACAGGTTGCCTGTGTGCAGAAATACTTCCTTTTCTTTGTTTTAAACCTGTGGCCTATTAATTTCATTTGAAGACCCCTAGCTTTTGTGTTACTTTCTGCACAGCAGTCATGATTTTATAGACCTCTATCATATCCCTCCATTAGGTGTCTTTTTTCCAAGCTGAAAATTCCCAAGCCTCTCCTCTCCTCTCACGGAAGCTATGCCATATCCCTATTCATTTTTGTAGTGTTTCTGAACCTTTTCCAATTCTAATATATGTGTTCTGAGATGAAGCAACCATGTCTGCACACGTCTGCGTACCATGGATTTATGGTCTTTTCTGTTTTATCCCTTTTCTGATGACTCCTAACATTCTGTTTGCCACTGCACACTGAGTGGATGTTTTCAGAGAATTATCCACAGTGATGCCACTGTCTCTTGAGTGGTACATCATTTGATACGTATAATTTAGTTGGTCTTTTCTAATGTGCATTACTTTGCATTTATGAACATCGAATTTCATTTGCCATTTTGTTACCCAGTCATCCCATTGTGTGAGACCCATTTGTAGCTCTCTTCTTATTTTGAAGGCTGATCTAACTGTCATGATGCAACTGAGCCACCAATGCTGGGTGGGCTTTGAATACTACATGTACCTCAGTCATAGCATTGCTTTTTTTATTGGGAAGCAAAGGGGCAGAATGTTCTTATCCAGCGTTTTATTAAAGAAGAGTCTCAACTTGAACATCCCATTTCTGTTTAGAAATGGTGTACATCCAGTAATCAGAATTAACCCCCAAGATTACTGTATCACAGGAAAAATAATGTTGTTTGTATTCTAGTAGACCCTTGGTGGCCTAACAGAGATTAGGGTCTCATTGTGCTAGGTGCTGCACAAAAAGATAAGCTGCAGAGAGAGATTAAGTGAATTGCTGCAGGTCACAGGGAAAGTGTGTGCCACAGCAGGAAATTGAACCTAGAACTCGGATGCTTCAGTGCCTTAGCAGCAAAGTTTTAAAGATCTCCGAAAGCAGTGTTCTAGCAAGGAAAATGATTTCTGTTTATTTAATGAAGCACATTTTGTATAGTCCATTCCATAGTTTCCCCTGTAAAATCAGTAGATTTTAGTTTCTTCCTTGTTATAAAGATTGGTATGAGTTTCAGCAGGTGAACAGAAGATACTCTACAAAAGTTATTTTGAAGGAATAAAAAAGCAGGACATCCTATTTAACTAGTGCTAAAAACTGAAATATGTGAAAGTTACTCACTTAAAATTTTTTATAGATAGTGCTTTTTTTAAAGTAACTTGTCATGGCTAATAGGAAAGTGGTTTAGGGTTAATTTTAGTTACTTAACTACTGAAATAGTTGTGTTTGAAATTCAGAGGGAATGTAATTAAAGCAGAACAGTGATTTGTACACATTTCCATTGCAGCTTCAGCTAGAAAAGCAGAAGGGAGAAATTCTCGGGGTGGTAATTGTGGAGTCAGGATGGGGATCCATTCTGCCCACAGTTATCCTAGCCAACATGATGAACGGAGGCCCTGCTGCTCGTTCAGGGAAACTAAGCATTGGAGACCAGATCATGTCTATTAATGGGACCAGTTTAGTTGGTCTTCCTCTTGCAACATGCCAAGGGATTATAAAGGTACCCAATATTATGTTTTTAAATATGCATGTTCAAAGAGTGTGAGCCTGCAAAGTTGTGATTGTGTCTTTGTAAAGTGCCTTGCAAAATTCTGACACTTCTGTGTGTAATAACAATAATTCATGTTTTACGGTGCAAGAAACTCAGGTATTCCAGGCCTTTCCTTTGAACAGATGTTAGCAGGGACAAGGAAGTATAGCCACAAGAGTATTTCACAAAGACTAAAAGGAGCCAGACCACCCCTCACAGCTCTCCTAGAGTGAACCACGTGTGGAATTCCACTCTTACCCGTGGGAAGGAAACGCAGCTGCATCCGCAGTATTCTTTCCTATGAGCTATGTAGATGCCTTTTTTTGGGAGCCCAGGATCCACACATCTGGAAGAGGTGGTGGACTGGAGGGAAAAGGTGGCAGGTTGGGGGGTGGATTTTGATCAAGTGGATTCACTCTGTCTTCCCAGTAACCCCGTGAAAGTTCCCCAGGCTGTATTACTTTTGGCCACTGTTGCTAAAATGTGGAATATGAACATGTGGAATATGTGAACATGAATCAGTCTGCCTGCCTGTCTGGCTCCTAGTACATTTAAACTGCAGAACCGCAGCAAGGGTAGGTCCCAGACCCGGCACGAGCCAGCAGTGAGTTGGACTGCCTGCCAGGCTGGGGCAACCCCTGTATGTGGAAGCTGCAGGAGTGTGTGTGTGTCGGGAAGGCGAGGGGGAGGGCAGGCAGCACCGTGGATGGTGCTGGGGGAACCGGCTTTTAAGCCAGCTTACCCCAAGACCCTCTCCTATTTCCCCCTCCCCGCTGATACAGGGGAAGTGTGAGTCACTGACCAGGCTTATCGGTTGGTCGACTACTTGACTACTCACTCACATCCCTAGCTGCCTCCCTGCAGCCTTAGTACCCCTCAGGCCTCAGGAGGGACTACTCATGCTGGAGCCCCCGGCTCACCTTGCTTTCTCCAGCACTGCTCTGTCTGTGGTACCCTGGGTAGTTGGCAGCTAGGTCCTTCTCCCTCCAGGGCTGGCGTGAGAGTGTCTCCAACCTAGCCAGCAAACTCTTTTATACAGCCCTTCTGGGCTCTTGATTGGCTGCCACAAATGCCTCTCGTGATTGGCCCCTAGTTACAGCCCTCTCCCAGGGCTGTTTTAACCCTTTTTATGCCTGCAGCAGACTCTGCTGTACTACCCCATGGCAGGGTATACCACCAGGCCCAAGGTGCCTTGTCCAAGTCCATCTACTTGGCATCGCCTGAGTCCAGAGTGCTGGAGGCCACAGTTAGCTACCCAGCCCTTGAGTCAGTTTTGTTAGGGTCTTCACCAGCTCCAGTGGTCCCAGCACGTGGGCCTCAACAGATGGATAGCCAGACCTGGTCCTTCCTCTAGCTTGATCCTTCTCTAATCCTGATAAAGCAGTGGCTAGCATGCTGGTGGCAGGGCTGCCCCCATGGACTATAAGGCACTGCAGGATTTGCTTTGTGATGTGGGCCAGAGACTCAACCTGCTGAGCAGAAGGACTTGATGGTGGACATGTTATTGTGAGCAGATAGGATGATAACTCTTGGGCCTCCTTGCAAAAGTTCAAAAAGCTCCTGCCACAGGACTCTCGTGATGAGTTTGCAATGCTCATTCTGGGGGGTAAAGTGGTCGCCTGGCTCTCCCTCCAGGCATCATTGGACATGGCAGACTCAGGGTCCCAGGCCCTGTCTTTGGGTATTGCTACATGCTGCAATGCCTGGCTCCAGCCATTGGGTCTTCTGCCAGAGGTCCAGCAGACCATGCAGGACCTCCTGTTTGCCGTCATGGGTCTCTTTGCAGAGAAGACCAGCTCCCACCTGCATAGACTCAAGGAACACCATGAAGTCCTTGGTATTGCATGCCTCAGCGGAAGATGTTCAAACTGCAGCCAGCCCAAAGACTCTTCCTGCCTCAAGCCAGGCTGGACTATTGTCAGCAGCACTCAAGATACTCCTGGTGGAAGTCATCTCACCAGAATCTGGCCAGACCCAAGGACAGATGAAGTCTCTTAGGGTATGTCTACACTACCACCCTACTTCGAACTAGGGTGGTAATGTAGGCAACCGGAGTTGCAAATGAAGCCTGGGATTTGAATTTCCCGGGCTTCATTTGCATAAAGCCGGGCGCCGCCATTTTTAAATGTCCGCTAGTGCATGACTAGGTAATTCGGACTAGGCTTCCTAGTCCGAACTACCTCTCCGTGCCGCGTGTAGCCAGCAGTTACTTCGGGCTAGTCAATTTCTAAAATGGAACCGGCCGGGAACATGCTAATGAAGTGCGGGATATTTAAATCCCGCGCTTCATTTGCAATTTCGGTCGCCCTCATTAGCCTCCCTATATCAAACTAGGGGGCTAGTGTAGACATACCCTTACTTGGGCCCTGAGCAGGCCTTTTGATGGTAGCCGTGAGGACAGAGCACCAAACGCCACAAATCTCTCCTCATCATTCCTGAACCATCTGTCATGCTTCCACTAGGCGTGAGCCATTATTACTTCAGAACACTGGGTCCTATGCTCTGTGGAGGTGGGATATTCTATCCCGTTCCAGTTTCCACCACCCATCCCACACCTCCTGCCTGTACCAATTCATGGACCCTTCCCATGAACAGCTTCTTCTGCAGAAGATGCAAATGCCCACAGACCTGGGGGCAGTGGAGGCAGTGTTTCAGTAATTCAGGGTTCTACTCCTGCTATCTCCTTATCCCCTGGCCTATTCTGGACAAGTTTGTCTCCAACCACAAGTTCTATATGGTCTTCTTGAGCTTCATCCTGGAGCTGGGAGATTAGCACACTGCCCTTGAGCTAACGGATATTTATTAGCCCCCCCCCGGAGCTGGGAGATTAGTACACTGCCCTTGAGCTAACGGATATTTATTTCCATATAGCCATACTGCCACCATACCAAAGATACCTTTTTAGTTTATAGTAGTTGGTGTCCTTTACCAGTTCATGGCTGTACCTTTTGGGCTGGCCACGTCCTCTGCATCTTTATCAAATGTATGGCCATGGTGGCTGCTTTCTTCCACCACCACCACCATGTGCATATTTACCTGTACCAGGACGACTGGCTCCTCCAGGGTCAGTCTCACCAGCAGATAGAAACCCAAGTGCACCTAACCAGTGCTCCTGCTAAGATTTTCCAGCCATGAGCTGAGCGAGTTTTGGCATGTGCACCAATATCGAGGTCATGTGCACTGGTTTGGATGTATGCCACTGAGGTGCAGAGCCACTCTCTCTCCCCCCACACTTTGCCCATGGGCACACAGTGGCTGTTGACCCCACTGCCTTGGCCTCAGTATCCCCATTTGTAAAATAGAGATCATGGTATATTATTAGCCATGTTGAAGCAGCATCCTTTACGTGTGATTATGAAGGACTGTGAGACCCTTGGATTGAGGGTGCAACGTAAGAATGAATTGTTATCGTTGTTAAGGTTTTGGATTGGCCGGATGGATTAATAGTTTGGAGAGAATCCTTGACTTCCTTCCTCAGGATCAATAGAAGAGTTTCCATTTAGATTAGCAGAATGTTCCTTCATATGGACAGTCCTGTGTTAGTTGCAGCTGCGAGGGAGAGAGTTGTGCAAGGTTTCCTGCTCAGCTATTTCATACCTACAGCGAGAAGAGCGCCGGTGAGAACCACTTCAGAAAATGCTAACATTTGGGATGTTTTTCAGGGTCTTAAGAATCAGATGCAAGTGAAATTGAACATTGTCAGCTGTCCTCCTGTTACAACCGTCCTCATAAAACGACCAGACTTGAAATACCAGCTGGGCTTCAGTGTGCAGAATGGAATCGTAAGTTTGTACTTTATTTGTTCATGGGTTTTTATCTGGAAACATGTTAACAAACTAAAGTCGGATTTTTTTTTAAATTGTGGTTTTTTTGTGCACTTTGAATCTTTGGAGCTTCCTAGTTCCTCTTAGCCTTGCAAAGCGTATATGGAGTGGCAGAATGTTATACTGGTGTGTTGCAGAGATCAGTGTGTAGGTATATATCATGTGGGTTGTTGTAGGACATATACAAACACAAAATAAAGGTTTGATTTTTAGGAAGTTGGATTTTCTAGCACTTGTCTCACAGAAAAAAGAGATGAGAAAGCAAGAGATGTAAAGCAGCAGTCAAAGAGGTAATCGGCTGCCTATGGGGGGCATGCAGTGCGATTAGGCTGTGCCAGTTGTTGAGATCATTAAGATCTAAAGCCACAAGCATAAGTTCTATCCCTGAATTATTCATTGCTGCTGCTGGGCTTGAAGAGAAGGAGCTGTTCATAGCCAGTGAAAATTGTGTAGAGCTTGTAGGTGAGTTTGTGTCATAATCAACCATTAACCTTCATGCCATCAGAATCTCTCTTTTCTGAGAATTCAGTTTATCTGATGTGTACCCATATTCCACAAAGGCTGGGTCTCCGTTTCAGCCTTTTGGTCCCTTGCTTTACCCAACCTCCTTATTAAATCTGTTATACGCTGACATGCTGAAATGGACTATCCTTTGGTCTGTGTTTCCTCTACTTTGAATATGTGCGGTATGCCCTGTAAAACTTTTTCATTACCAATCAAAGGCACCATTTGGTAGAGGACAGGGAGGTCCCTAGCCCTCTCCTGCATTTTGTACTGAGAGCGACTCGCCCTAGCCCTAGACAGAGCTCTTAAGTGCAACACAGCCTGAGCGTGATACATGATGAACTCTGAAGCTGAGAGTAGCACAGCCTTTGTGGCAGGAAGTTCGTTTATAAAGAGAGGCAGGGTCACTAAGATATCACAGAGCCCCATTAGTAAAGTAAATGAAGGCTCATTAGATAATCCCCAAAGCATTGGCAAGCACTCCATTTAAGAGAGAAGAAGCAAAGGGTAGGAGTAAATGGTGAGAATGGAGAGAAGCAAATAATGGTGTTCCACAGAGGTCTGTATTGGGACCAGGATGTTCAACATATTCATAAATGATCTGGAAAAAAGGGGTAAAGAATGAGTTGGCAACATTGGCAGATGGTACCAGATTTATTCAAGACACTAGCTAAGTCCAGACTAGACTGTAAGACTGGGTGACTGGGCAACACACTGGTAAATTAAATTCAGTGTTGATAAATGCAAAACATGGCAAAATGTTTTTCTTTTCTTTTATATAGAAATTAGATAGAGGGCTCCTGTTAAGTTGCTTCTGCTAAGTTATCTGCCAGTCACTAGAGTTTTCAAGTGCCTAAGTAGCCCCTGGAATCATAGTTAAAGTTGCCTCCGTCCCTCCCCCCCATCTGAAATGGCGCCCTTCTTAGCAATATCACTTTAAATGCTGTTTGGAATATCTAGGATGTTTCTTCGTTCTATAAACAAAGACTTGCAAACACATTGCAAATAAAAATAGAAGCATTGAAATGCAAGCCTTAAAGATTATGCTCAATACACTTGCAGGTGAACCTACTTAAATTGGAGCCTTTGGAGAAAAGGGAACTGGGAATATAATATGCCTGCTTCTTGCCTTTCACCCACCCTGCCAGCATAATGTCTTTTTGCCTACCGTTGCCCTTTACTCTGTTGTTTAGCCAGGGTGGTGGCAGGTTTGGTTTTGTGGGATTGTTTTTTGATCCTCTGACTGTTTTTATTTAGTGTATAGATAGTTAATTTGAGCTCTATTATGGTATTTTAAAATAGTTTCCAAGCACCTTGCAGGCATTTTAATTTCTGTTTAACCAGGGGTGAAAGTAACTTAAATTTCTTACAGGTACTGTCCTATCACAATTCCCCCGCCCCCTTGGAAGGGGGCTCAGGGCAGGTGGGGGTGCAATACTCTGAGGCTATGTCTACACTCTGGCTGTGTCTACACTGGCAAGTTATTCCGGAAAATCAGCCGCTTTTCCGGAAAAACTTGCCAGCTGTCTACACTGGCTGCTTGAATTTCCGGAAAAGCACTGACGATCTAATGTAAAAGTCTTTTTCCGGAAAACTGTTCCGGAAAAGGGCCAGTGTAGACAGCACAGTAGTGTTTTCCGCAAAAAAGCCCCAATCGCGAAAATGACAATCGGGGCTTTTTTGAGGAAAAGCGCGTCTAGATTGGCCACGGACGCTTTTCCGGAAAAAGTGCTTTTCCGGAAAAGCGGCCTGCCAATCTAGATGAGCTTTTCCGAAAATGCTTTTAACGGAAAACTTTTCCGTTAAAAGCATTTCCGGAAAATCATGCCAGTGTAGACGTAGCCTATGAGTTTTGTTGAAAGAGGCAATGCAAATGAAACGCTGATTAGCATTTTCTTGCGCTTCATTTGCATAATCTATTCTGATCCATTTTTGCACAAGAGGTTTTTGCTAAAAAACATGCAGTGTGGACGAGTCCGTTTTGTGCAAAAACCCCTTTTTGTGCAAGATCCGTATGCCTCTGCTTGGCCTCTGATAAGACAAGAAGCAATGGGCTTAAATTGCAGCAAGGGGGATTTAGGTTGTACATTAGGAAAAACTTCTTGCCAGGGTGGATAAACACTGGAATAAATTTGAGGAATCTCCCTCACTGGAAATATTTAAGAGCAGGTTAGACAGACGTCTGTCAGGGACTGTATTTGGTCCTGCCTGAGGACAGGGGACTGGACTTGATGATCTCTCGGTCACCTGCAGTTCTAGGATTCTATGATATTATAATACCTGTAAGAAATGTAAGTGTGGGGCGCAGAGCAGGGGGCTCAGGGATGGGAAGGATGTGGGAAGGATGCAGGAGTCGGGCTGGGGAGATGGGTGGATCAGGAATTTCCCCAACACCGACCCAGTTTTGTGAACTATGATGCCATACAGCCTACCTTCACCCTCACGGTCTCACCCCTCCTCGGCCCTGACACTCTCCCTCTAAATTCGAACACCTCCACCTAATTTCAATTCCTGGGGAGGCTACTAGGGTGGGTGCAGGAGTCAGAGTTGAGGTGTATGAGGGGCTCAGGGCAGAAGGCTGGCGTGTGGGGGCTGCAGGGCTTAGGGCACAGAGGACTGTGGAGGGGCTTAGGGCAGGAGCTGGAGGTGTGTGGGGTGGGGTGCAGGAATCAGGACAAGGGGCTGTGATGTGTGTAGGGTGGAGTGTGGGATGGGAGGCTCAGTGCTGGGGCAGTCCTGGTTGGTGATACTGCCCTGCGCTGTTCCTGTTCCCAGCCAAATGGGAGCTGTGGGGCAACACTCACAGGCATGGGAAGGGAGCTAAGGGTGTGCAAGGTGCTGCAGCACCCCCAAAGATCCTGGCCCAGCATCTGGGGTCCTGGCTGCTGGCCCCAGGCACCCAGAGCTCTGCAGGTAGCCCTGCGTCACATTTCCTGTCTCTCTTTGTACTAGGGGTTTGAAGTTTGTCTGTAGAAGAATGGCTGCTTTAGCCTCCCTGGACATTCAGTAATGGATTTGAAAGTGCCCCCACAAAAGCTTATGCCCTAATAAATCTGTAGGGTGCATCTACACAGCAGCGTTGTTTCGGAATACTGGCGAGCTAGAGGACTTCTTATACCGATTCCTTAACCCTCCTTTCACGAGGAGTAAGGGAAGTCAGAGGAGGGGTGTTTTTCCTTCAACATCCTGCTGTGTAGACCGCGTCAAAAGCCAAGTTAAGCTAGTTCAACTTCATAGCCTAATTCAGTGTTTCCCAATTGTATTTGTACCCCTAGGGCTGCCTTAAAAAAAAAAAGGCCCCCGCAACGTGTCGTCGAGCAAAAACCCAAACCAAACAAAGAAACCCACCCGCTGCTGCGACTCCTACCTTCTCGCTGTCTCTGTAAGAGGGGGTGGGGGGGTGCCGGCTGTTTGCGGAGCCCTTGCTTTTTGCTTCGCAGAACCACAAGGTTCCGCAGGGCACCAACTGGGAAACACTGGCCTAAGTAATCTTTAGCCACTGCCCTTCTCAGTGTTTCTGCAGATGGAGACTAAGGGCATGTTTCCATTAGGAAATTGTTAAAAAAAACTTGAAAGAATAGTTTCCCCATGGTCCACACTACGGAGAAGCCTCAAAATTAGTCCAAGGCAGGCTCCGATATTGTGGACACGCTACCTCGACTCAGAGCTCCAAGAAGCACTGGGGAGTAGTTAGGTTGAATTACTCTGGGGAATAATTATTTTGAAATAGTGGCACCAGAGCATCCACACTGTCTTGTGCGTTACTCCTTGTGGAAAGCACGAGTCATTATTTCGAAATAACCAGCCTATTATTTTGAAATAAATAACCCCCCATTGTAGACCAGGCCCCTTTTGAGACTGGACTGTCAGTGTCATGGCTGTTTCAACAAAAGACAGGACTGTGCAGCACTTTAAATACTAACAAGATGGTTTATTAAGTGTTGAGCTTTCATGGGCCAGACCTACTTGGCCCACGAAAGCTCATCACCTAATAAACCATCTTGTTAGTATTTAAAGTGCTGCACAGTCCTGTCTTTTGTTTCAGCAAGACCAGACTAACAGGGCTACATCTCTATTACTATGGCTGTTTCAGTTCATGGTGGTGTAGCGCCACCTTGTGGACATTTCCCATGTTGACCGTTTGGTGCATAGTCATTTGTTGCTTTTTTTTGTTTTACCAAGATCAGTCACAAACCAGTTGGAGTTACTCTTGACATTTACATTACTGTTCAAAAGGAAGTACACCAAATTCACCAAACGAGTCTTCGCATGTATAGAGAAGGCTCTGCAACACAATTCAGCTATGAAAAGTCAAGTTTGGATTTAAAGGCCAATAACAACTGACACACGTGTACTCTGATTTGTATTTTAACAATATTATTCTAATAATGTTTGTATTTCAAAAAGTAGAATTTCCTAATTACTAGAAATGTGATTATAAAGGCTCACTGGGC